TACTCTATGAAAAGACATTTTCTAAAAAAGTGATATTTTTAAATAAATAGATCTTTTCAATCATCAATATGAATACTTAACGCATATATAAAACTCGTATTACATAAGACTTTTGTTAAATTAATAATGAAGATAAAAAAGTACCTAATTATTAGTTCGTATCGTGTATAGATTTTGTATCTATATATTTGTATGCGATAATAGAGGTTGAATCTAATAGTCACCAGCTGACTAATTAAGAGAATCTATCTATCAGGATCTAGCCACACACACAAAGGTCGGCTTCTTATCTTAGGTTGTATTGTACATATATAATATAATATTGGAACAAGTAAATCGAATCAAGACATTGGTGCAATTTAGTAATTACCTAAACCAGCTGAGCGAGTACGATGTGGAGCAGAGGCGGTCTGCCAAGGGGCTACCGGTTCATTAGGTCCTGCAACTAAAGAGCTATCTACCTCCGGCCTGGCGCACACCGCTGCGTCAGCGTCCCGCTCTCGTTACCCTAATGACAACGATTTTGTTCCAGAAGCACTTTTAGTTCCAGGAACAGTTTTGTGTTACACTCCACTAATGGCCCAATGAATGCTTAGGTTGGTTCTACGCGCCTCATTTTGCTACTTAATCACTACCTTGCCGCCCTCGAGATAAGATAAATACCAACCTGTAAAAGGAAACAGGTAAACATACAATATGCTTTTATTTCTGTTCGATATTTTCAATTATTCAAATTTCGTATTAAAATATTGGACCGTTTGATTTAGATTGGATTCTGTTGTAGCCAGGTAATTTTTTTGTCATCAAAGCTTGGGTTTAACTGATTTTTTAAGCTCGATAGATTTGCGATGTCGAATGAATCGACTTTCTTGTTAGGAGTTTGCTACTTATGTAAAGACCTTTTCCTTTTTATTCGGTTTACCGCGAAAACCCACCATTTCCTGACTATGATTTATCTTGCGGTCTCTAAGCTGAGGGTCACTTTAATAAATGTATTCGGGAAAGGTGCTTCCAGAAATGGATGGCGAATGCTCTGGATGCAATAACCTAATATACGGAAAATATATCCCCGTTACCCGTCTGTGAAGTATTTCTTAACTATCTAAATTGAAAATAGAGAGAAACTTTTTTATTTATGGTTGTCGTAATATGTGGTGTGGATACATTTAAGCATTAAAGTGTATGGTCTTATAGCCGAGTTTAATTTTGCATTAAAGTACAATTTAATCAAATTCACTCGTTGTATATATTTTTTTCTATTTTCATTTGCAATTTAAGTATAAAAATTAGATATTTTCAAAAATAGCACTGCATAATATATTAAAAATATCTTGGAAACATTAATAGTATTAACTATTTTTCGATATAGCATTGTGAATGCAAAATTGATCAAATATAATAAATAAACCATTCTATTCACACCGAGACAAACAGTATTTGAGCCATTTCAAATGTCACTTAAACAGGTTTTCGTTTCTTATTTTAATTATTTTTAATGATCAACTGATCATTAAAAAAAATGATAGCATATTGATAAAACTAAGTCTTTTTGCCATGTAAAACGTAAAAAAACTCAAGTTATTTAGAATAATCACTTGAGATTTTGTACTTTTCTCAAATAAAAAAATACGGGCGTATATCTATTATTTCTATAATTTGTGATACTTTGCAACATTTCTTTGCGTGTTTTGTATTATTAATAATTTTCGTCTCATAATATTCTTTATGAAGTGTCATTTCTGAAGATATTGTTCATATTCGCGCCCATATTTCCTGATAACCAAACGAAAGTGAGGAGAGGAATGTCTTTTTCAATATGTGTCTATGTGAGAGAAGTCATAAATTAAGCATTAGGATGAAATACGCGCACGTAACATACGTGAGGTGGACGATATTTGCGAGGTTTCATCCTAAGAACATTCAGGGTGTAGGAAAGTTCAAATAACCCGAATTAAGGATCGCAATAAAGAGACCCTTTGGAAAACCATGTGGGAGCTATCCTGAATTTGCCAGACGAACGTTTGAGTAAAGATGTTCGAGGCTTTATAAAGAAAGGGTTCTATGTAAAGGTGAAGTCGGATGCTGACCGTTACTTTATTGCTAGTGTCTAAGTAAGAGAGCCGTTACACATTAGGTGATAGAACAACATATAACGCTGTTGACCTAGTGAGCCATAAATAATAGTAGTTTCGATATTTATCAGTCCTTGTTCCTGTTATCTAGACCTAACTACTAAAACTTCTCTTATATTAACGATACAGTTTTCACTATTGAGTAGGGTTCTTAAGATCCAATAACTGTAACTTATAAAATTACTATTTGACGGCGGGTAAAAGTATATGATAATACCTATAGTTGCAATATGAGTGTATTCTTTTGGTGCTTGAAATACGATGTCTGGAAAATTAGTAATTGATTTAGTCTTAGATGTGAATAAAGCACACGAGTTATGAATAATGTTTTGTTTAGTAGAAAGTAGTCTCATATTGTTTATTTTTGTTATCAACAGAAAATAATGATGTGTGGAAACTCTTTACGGTGTGCCACCGCCATCTGTTTATTTTTTGTATCATATAATTTAAGTTTGTTTATTATAATTATTTTTAAGGATATATCTATACTCATTCTTATTTATTCTAAAATTATTCTAAAAATGATGCCTAAAGTAACTACATCACGCCGAAGAAACTTAATCAAAAATAATATTATTATGTAAGAACAATTTTGAAATCTGCTTTAATTTTGCCAAAGTTCATAATACTTATAATTATTCAGTCAAAATATACCAAGCAGAAAATAGCGTTTTATAACATCCCATTTATGTGTTAATACAAGATTGTAGCAAAAATATCCATCCTCAATATATTTTGCATACAAAGAGACTCCCGATCAAGTTTGACTCGGATTTTCCCCTTTGAATCATCTTTTTACTTTACTACTTTTATATTGAGTTCTGAAGAGGTTATAAAGTTATAAAAAAATATGAAAGAAATACGCAACAATTTCCGAGTACTAGCTTTATGATGTAATATAAAGTTAGTAGGTAAGCTATTCAGCAATAATAAGTTATCGTTTAAATCATGCTCTCCTGCCGGGAGGGCCCAACGGGGAGCAATCTCTGCTAGAGAGCAACCGAAAAATATTACGTACACTTACAAATACTTGCGTCCTCGAAATAACGTATTAGGGAACGCGGAGTATGACACAAATAGTAGTGGTGTGGAAGTCACTAGACTATATAAAAATAGGGCTGAGTATGTACCCGAGGCACCAGGGCGCCGGCGCCGGCACTCGCCCTCGGTTCGCACAGTTCGCGGCCAGACCCGTTGGCGCCCGCCGTGCCGTCGGCCGTCCCGTCAGCACGTACATGACACGCGCGCGGATCGCTCACGTGACACAACCACTCGTGTTCGCTAGCCTCTTGTCCGACAGCTGATTGTGCAAAGAGTATGTGTAATTGCTCACGAACTTAAGTGACAGTGCCCTGTGAAATTACAACATGCTTTGTCTGTATGGAGTCAAACACTCTCGTGAGGTTGTGAATTACAACAGTTCATCTGAGTCATGTCGGTTTCTGTACCATTTGGTTCTTAATCCAGCCTAAAGCGGACGTGTGAAGCTTATCAGACATGGCTGTTACTATCAAACAGTGTCTGCTTTTAATTATTCTATCGTTGTGGCAGGTAACAAATTTAGCTTCAACGTGTCCAGAGACTTGTTCGTGTAATAACAATGTAACATTATGCCAAAAATGTTCCTATAATTTAACATTAAAAGAGAACTTAAAGATACATCAAATTTCAGTGTGCTGTAACGACGATATATCACAGAAATACAGGAACATTACGTTTGTGGAAGTTACAGCTCTGTACAGACCCACATGCAATAATAGTGTCAATGTTTTTTATTTACCTTTATTGGATACATACTCACTGACATTGAGGAACAATAACATAATAAAAATAAAAATCAACGTGAAGTCACATAATCTTCAAGAAATAGATATTTCTTCAAATCGATTACAATTTATAAAAGAAGGACTGTTTAACAAGTTCACGAATCTACGAAAACTTGTTTTAAGCAAGAACAGAATATTAAACATATTTGAAGGAAGTTTTAGCGGTTTGTCAAAACTGGAATCTTTAGATCTATCTGAGAACAATTTAACTCTTCTAGCCAATATTTTCACTCCATTGAAAAATCTGCAACATCTCAATCTAAGTAGAAATAACATAGAATTTATTCATGAAAACTATTTCAATAACTGGCTATTGCAACATTTAGACGTATCACACAATAATTTAAGGAAACTAGCTCCCGGAGCTTTGCAGTTATTGCCTAATCTGGCTCGTTTACTGCTTACCGATAACCCGCATTTAGGAATTACTCAATTAGATACTCAGCTGCTAGTAGGCACTGGACGGAGATTACAGCAAATTGATGCATCTAGAACAGGTCTTTACCAAGTTCCTGAAGCATTTACTCATTCTGTCAGATTTTTGTCATTGGTTGGAAATAGAATAACAGCAGTTAGATGTGGAGATTTAGATAGCTACCCATTATTACAATCATTAGATTTTTCTGAAAATAAAGTTGCTTCGGTAGAAGATGATTCTTTGGGTAGATTGGAAATGCTTTTATTTTTGAACTTAAATAAAAATTTATTAACGGTTGTTCCAAAATCATTGCCTGATGAATTGAAATATTTATCTATTAATAATAACATGATCAGAAACTTATCGACACCTGATTTTAAAAATTTACCGAACCTGAGAATACTCTTATTACAAAATAATCAAATACGTTTTATACAAGATCACGTTTTTGATGATTTATTATCACTGGAGATGTTAGATTTGTCTAATAACCCTATACAAACATTCTCATCGAGTACATTTGATGGACCTTTATCTTTAAGGGATTTGAGGCTTTGCTATTTGAATTTATCAGTGCCAGAAAAGGACGGCTCATTCCCAATGTCATCACCGGAAAGCGTTCAAATGCTTCATCTACAATCTAGTCCAGGATTAGCCCGACAATTACTTGCTGACTCAGCTGCATTGGCGGCTTTCTCCCACTTACAATACCTAGACTTAAGAACCAATAATCTCACTGACATACGCAATGATTTGTTATATTATTTAGTTCAACTTAAAACTTTGAGATTACATGGAAATAAAATAAATTGTAGTTCTGAACTATGGCTAAAAGACTGGATGACTTGGAATAATAGTTTATCAAACGGTGAGACTTGTTACTATTCTACATCAGAAAGTAAAGCAGATATAACCAAATATAATTGTACGTTCTCAGAAACATTTACTATCAGTGAAAGTCTACCTCCGGTAAATCTATACAGCACAGAAATGATTAATAAATTGCTAAGGTACTATGGTTACCTGAATAATAAAACAGACAGAGCTTCCAAGCATGAAAACAATATTCACATTGATAAAAATATTTCGGGCTTGACAAAATCAGAAAAGCTTTTGACTAAAACAAAGCAAAAAGATCAACTTTTATCTCATGTATTACGAATGGAAAATTTATTACTGTCAAAGAAAGACAATAAAAATATACTTACGGATTATTTCAACGAAACAACCGTTGTGAAGGCAAGGGAATCATCAAAAATTTTAGATCAAAACAAACTACAAAATGATAAATTCAGCATCGATCACAAGTTTTTAGATATCGACCCTTATGTAGCTCTGCCAACAAAAAGTTCAGAAAGGACTGATCATGATGACACACTCGAGGTTCGCCATAAAAACAGATCCGGGAAGCGTTTGAACACGCCAATCAATATAACCAAAAACGTGCCTGAAGATTCGTTTAAAAATACAACGGAAGTTAAGGTTTTAGGAAAATTATCGCATGGTATAGATAAATATTCCAGAACAGTGTACTCAGCTAATGTCAGTGATCGAACCGAATATTCACCTTATCAGTCTACACACAACAATTATGGTCAATATATAGGTACTCTCGCAGTATGTAGTTTGATAGTGATGTCTCTGATACTGTGGGCGAGTTTCCGACTGCGGTATAGGAGAAGAAGAGTGCCGGTTGTTAATGATGAACCTGAAGATCAAATGGAGGTCTCTAATATATCTGGAGGGGTCCTATGGTGACATCTAAGAGCAGCCGATCCTACACCCTTCGAATACGACTCACTATTGACGTAGCGCTAATGTGAGTATTTTTGAGCAACTCATTTTATAAACGGTAGAGGAACAGTAATTAATGTATGTGTATTGAAATTTTTATAAAAAATATTCAATACAAATTTATGTTAATGTAAATTAATTATTTTGTTACAGTTCGAAGCGGTCGGCTGCTTGGCTTATGGAAGGTGTTATGTGATATAATTGGACGTGCGTATTTTTTTATGAATAAGTACAAATAGAGTGATTAGCTGGGCGGCGCGAACTACTGATTGCCCAAAACTGTAAATATAATTATTTCGTTATAAAACGGAGACCATAGAAATAGAATTATTTTTGTGCGAAATTGTAGGATCATAATTGTTACTATTAAAAGTCATCTTTTAATTTGAAAATCAAAAATTGTAGTTTCATATACCATTGCTATTTTTGCTGAAAATATTATTGTATTAGCCTTGTTGAGAAATAAAAATGTGTGTGTTGTTCAAATTATTACGCTATGATGTTGCCACGGGCACCTGGATTACTCTCGAACTTAATATCATAATGAACACGAATTAACAAAATATTTGTTTTCTTTGAAGATACTTTTAGGAGTGTTTCCGCTATAACAGTATCTACAGACCGCTCTAGTGTAAGTATATTTAACTTCCGAGTTTATGGAAAAAAAATGGCGAAGGTATTTCTTACAGCAATTTTTTTCTCTCGCAGCTAAGTTTCTATAATATTTGACCGTTTAACTAATGCATTATCTTTAGGTAAATGTAACAGTACACAAATATATTTTGCCTTATAAACTTTATAAATGTGATGCTTTTTAAACAAGTGCCTATAGTTGTATATCTTATCCACATACGGGTACATATACAAGCCATATGTTGTTCCGTACATATTTCAATGCACACTCATTGATGTTGTTATGCACTGTTTCCATTCTAACATTAAATAGGCTTCAATTATAATGTTTCGAGAGTAACCCCCCCACAGATCAAGTCTTCCTTGTTAACCCTTTGTAACTATTAACATAATGATATTGCTAATTATCGTGTAGCATGCCCGATCCAAGTGCCAAATGTTAATTTAAATGCCAACAAATTGTAGACAGTAACATATTTAGCTTAAATTCACATTGTATTTTCGTGACGTATTTACGTTTATGTGAAATTTATTATTTTTATTATAATTATTATTGATAAACTGTATAAAACGCAAAATGTACCTATTTAATAGTTAACTTGTTTTTGTTTATCAATACTTTTGTAATACCGAGGACAGACAACATTTCCTCAATTAGCAATAGAATAAAACTTATAATATCTGATTTAACTAAGTATTTAAATAGTTTGTATTAAATGTTTCACATACTTAAATTAATTGGTATATTTCATTCATCACTCTGAAACTAAGGTTGTAAACTTGATATATAACATTTTGAAAACAATGATGTGTAGCATATGTTTTTACGTGAATCGTAGTTTATGATGTACAAATGGATAGTCAAGATTTAATAAACAAATAGAATGAAATGTCTTTTGTATTTTTTGATGTCAATTATGTACCTGCTATACAAATATCTGTGCTACTGTTTTCATATTCATCAGGTAAGTCTTGATTGTTTGTTTGTTTGAATAGAATAGGTGCAGAAACTACAGGCCCAATTTTTTTTTCCTACGGGTAGCAACATGAAATGTAGGTGAAAAACTAAAATTTACGAGTGTGAGCTAACGGGAATAATACTAATAATACAAAAGGTATATAAACATACATAAATATTAATTTTGTTTAGTAGGAATACGGGAAATCTGTTAAGAGAAAGCATAACAGGATAAGGAGAAAACCGTTTTGTTTAGAATTATTTTTAGAAGGCCGTCTGTGTTCACTTAAGTGAGAAGAGTGAACATAAATCATTTACATTTTCAATATTTGTATTGACAGAAAATAATAAGATGTTGTCTTTGTGTAGCTGTAGGGTCTTTCGTTGATTTGCTGAAATTGTCGAATTATGTCACATTTTCATAATAATAGGTTTTCCGAAAGTAATATTGTTTTTTCCTTTTTGTTTGTTGTTAATTGTATTTTTCACAATCAACTTCACAATGAGCTACAGCATCATTATATACGTTATCGGTCAAACCTGATTTCAAGACAATTTACTTTTGCCTTGGCCAAACTCGTTCTTCCTATACACTATCAGTGTTATTAACAAGGTTTAACGTTGAAGTAACTTTACGATGACACTGCACTGAGTATTAACCAAAATTCATATCATTAAAAAATCTGCATCGCTTTAGTTGAGTCTAGGCTATAACGGTTAATAATTCTTCATATAGGCAGAACTAGTTTATGCCAATCAAAACTATTTAGTCCTGAAAATTGGGTTTGGCCGGTAATATATGCCATATTAACAACTGATACAGTAAAGCGTTTCTGTTAAAGTACTAAGTTCTGCGTGGTGAAAAGAAGACAGAATTGATAACATATTTCATTATTCACACAAATCTCTGAAATAGGTTAGTGTTGCCTATATTATGTATATTTAGTAATGTACATGTATTACCCTTCTTCTAAATCCGGTCACTTATAATTGACGGATGTGAATGAACAAAAATCAAATCAAACACAAAAACCGGTCAAGCGTGAGTCGGACTCGCGCACGAAGGTTATTCCAAATTCTATAGTGAAATGTAAATAGCTTGAAGATGTTATGAATCGTGGTGTACAAAATAAGATAAACAGTTTACGGGTGCCTCGCTATATTCCCATGAAATATTTACTAAAAGGTCGAAGTTATGTATCTATGAGTAATAGATAAATAACTTAACTCATAAATCCAACTTAAGTGTGATATTCCTTTTAATTTTAGTATGGGTATTGCTGCAGTAACGTTTTAATTTTTATCAATGGCCGCTTAGTTGGTAAAGGAATGGAAAATTAGCTCTTTAAAGCTTAATAAGTTACAAACGGTTTACTAAATCGAAAAACCGCTTTCCCATACCCCCAATGTTTTTGAAGGGGGGTATGGGAAGGCCGTTTTTCGATTTATTGAACAGTATCACACTATCGGGAAAATGATAAAAAATATATCATCCAAACTTTATATATAGTACCCAAATCTATGTTTTATTATTTTACTTTACCACTCTGTCCGCGGACGGACGAGTGAACGGATGGGACAGCCGGACATAGCGAAACTATAAGGCCTCCCTGTAGTTCTTGGGTCCTTACAAGGAATCCTTCCTTGTTAACTATGGAACCCTAAAAATTTTGTTGTTTTCGGAAGTTTTCTATAGGTTATTATTATTAAACAATAACTTCTTGACCTTTAAGCAATTTATTGAATATTTAAACCGCTTTTAAGATAAGTATTAATACTCTTATTCTTAAAGTTTAAAGTTAGTTAATTTTGTCAATAAAAAAACAAATAACAATTGCCAATAGGATGAAGGATTAAGCATGAGTTAGGTAGTGTGCTTCTAGGTAAGATATATTGTAATATATTTTTTAAAACCGCTTACGGTGCTGTGACTATGCAGCATTACGAACATTCAGGAGACGTATAGCCAGGCAACTGCTACTCAAAGGGGGATACGAAAATCTTAACGAGGTTATTTTAAATTCTATAGTGGAATGTAAATAGCTTGAAGATGTTATGAATCGTGGTGTACAAGATAAACAGTCTACGGGGGGCCTCGCTATATTCCCATGAAATATTTACTGAAGGGTCGAAGTTTTGTATCTATTGTTCATAAGGCTCTGTGTTTGAACGGTTTGCATGTCGGTTTCATTGTGAAATCATATAGGAGGATATAATTTCGATTGATGAAATTTCTAATACTGATTTGAAGCAGCAAACTGTCTCTCCGCCTTTGTGGTTATTAAGGATTATTATTAGTCGGTTTTAGTTTTATGAAAAAAGAATATTTGCATTTTTAAGCTGGGTGAAATATCAACGGATATATATCAGTTGATATATATTTATTGTTCGTTTGCGCATCGAGTGTTTAGTCTCGGCTAGAAAATAAATCAACCCGATGTGACTCTGGCTACATTTGCACGAAGTAGCAAACTTACTTATTAGGGTTTTCCCCTATACGTTACTGGAAATCCTCTCACGCGTAAAACTTTTTAATTATTCTATAATAAATAAATAAATATTAAATCTTTATTTCACACTTTTGATTTAAAAGATCAAATATTAAATTAAGCCAGTACCAGCTCAAAAATTGCAGCTTTTCATATGCATGATATAAACCAAATATGGGATATTTTGATATTTATTATTAATATCGGATTTTTACGAACCCTGATTTTTAGTGACAAACGAGGTATAAATCAAGTTTTTCAGCTTTACAAATAGACCACTTCTTATGAGTTTTTCCTTTCTAATAAAAAGAAGACTTATTAAGCACGACGATATAATGGAATACACATATAAAAACAATCAGATGAATTGAAAACCTCAATTTTTGAGGGCGGCTAAAGTAGTTACAAATTCAACCAGTCGAGAGGGTTGAATTTTTAAGTATTTTTCTTTAAAATACAGCATTTTGAGTAAAAAATTATAAATTAATATAAAAACACGATATTTTTAACGAAGGTACCGATTTTAGGGACACTTAATACTTAAAATAAATTATGATTGTATCAGAGGAAGGTCGTTAATCCCGCTTGTTTTTAATAACCAACCCTTATATAATCCTTGGTCTCAATAAAGTATTTTATTAAAACCGTTACCATAAAGGTACCGTAAATCGAAAACGAATTGAGAGGGATAGTATCAAATTTAAGAATTTCATTTTAGAGGTATATAATTTTAACTTTACATTTGTGGATTATAATAATACTCAAAGTATTCGGTAACTCACATTTGAAACTCCGTTATACCAGCTACAATATTAAGTGTTAAATATATTTTTGTTTATACTAAAAAACGCAATAAAACTAAAACAATAATGGACGTATTAATC